CCCAATATAGTGAAACCCTTATTTTTGCCACTTCAGACATTGTAAAAAAATGATTGACAAGAAGAAGAGAGAAGTATGAACGTAAGTTTGAAGATTAAATGAATTTTCATAAAATTGAAACGCCTTTAAATAAGGCAAGTCCGAATGTAAAACGTAGTACAATACTACGATTTATGTATTGAATTATTGTTATGTCAGTTCATTATTGGTGGGCCAAAAACCAGAGTAAAACGCAGTATAATACTGCGAACAGCTTTATAAAATGCAGTATTATACTGCGAATTATAAAAAAAAAATTTAAATTAAAATGCAGTATGGTACTGCGAATTACAAAAAAAAATAAAAATTTAAAGTAAAATGCAGTATCATACTGCATTTTACTTTAACGGACTAATTTCCATTAACGTAGTTCGCAGTATAGTACTGCGTTTTACTCATTTATGTAATTTTTTTTTAAGCAGTATAAAAGTGATTTTTGTCAAAGAAAAATAAAAAAAAAATCAAAAGCTCGAAATATGGCGTCCTCACATTATTAATGATGATGCTATTTTCCTCGAAAAGGCAAAAGGCAAATGAACCACTTGAAAGAAACAACAAAAGTTGGAAAACGTAAAAACCATTGGGTAGACCAAAGTCCTGTAGTATAATAATTCCTGTCACGGATCTGTTGACTCTGATGCCCAAATCTTGCGAATCCTGTGCCTTCTTTTAGTTCAATTATTACTTATAATTTGAATTCTTCCTTTATTTTCTTATAATTCATGTACCAAAACCGGTATGTATCAAAATATCATTTTCCTTATCACAACATTCCTAAGCACAACAGCAGGAAAACAAATGAATGAGCGCAACTTGCAAACAGTTCGTAAGCAGTGATCGCAGAAGTGGAGAGTGTGGTCATGGGCGAATTAGGATTTTTATAATATGAGTCTACTACTAAAGGTAGGAGAAAAAAAAAAGTAATTAAGTGGGATTTTATCCTTGCTCGTCTAAGAGAATAACTCAAGATTTAACCAAATGTACCATTTAGCCTCATTGAAATATGTTTTAACAATAAATAATATTAGATCAATTCTAAAAAAAAATATATACAAAATAACTAATTTGACGGAAAGGACATAAGTTCACCTGTCCCGTATATTTGTCTATAAATCCGCCCATGAGTGTGGCAGTAGCTCCTTTCCCAATGTCATCGCGGGTTCCCCACAAAACTCCCAAATTTTGGTTTGTCAGCAAAATTAGAGCTCGTTTGGACATATGAAAATTTTCCTTTTTTTCAATATTTTTCAAAATAGTGTTTGGTTATCAATATCTTATATTTTTTTCAATCTCACTTGAAAATGCATTTTTAAATTTGAAAAACTAATGAAAGCCAGTTCTTCAATTGAAAATTGGAAGGTTGCTATTTTTTAGTTTCACAAATTTACCTTATATTTTTAAAATTTATAATAAGACCCCATCAGTTACCTAAATAACCATCAACTACCCACTTTTCTTTCCATAAAGTTAGAAACACAAAACGCAACCAGCAGGTCATCTTCTTTCAGACGAGAATTCTGTGATAGGGTAACTTGATTTAAGGTTTTATTTTCCTTTTTGCTCTTATGTGTGTGCCTTCAATATTACTTATAAAGCTTATATTCAGTTGTTATGCACTCTAAAGATGAAAGCTTTCATATGCGATTGATTATTCTATTATTGTTGTATTGTAGAAACATAAAAGAATGAGTAAATCAAATTGGGGTGGTTTTGATATTTTTTTATAAATTGTGGGGTATAAATTATGTTTCATGGTTTTTAAAAAAAGATATCCAAATATATTGCAAAAATTATACCCAACACAACTTCATCTTCAATTCAAATTTTAGTGATTTTTTTTTTTTTTTATGACATTCATATCCAAACGCCTACTTAGAAACGCTACAACTGCAAAAGTACCGGTAGAGGACCAACAATTTAACAAACTTCCGAAGGACGCATTTGACTGAAAAAATCCTGCATTTATTTTGTATTTTCGGATTTCATTTAACAATTATTGCAATTTTATATGGTTAATAAGGGTTTAAATAAATAAACATGCTTAGCATTTTATTCTTTTTCCTTTTACACTTTAAACAAACTGAATTTAGTCAAAATATTTAATATTTTAAAAAATAAAACATATTTTAAAAATAATTACTCTTTAATTCAAATAAATTGGAATTGGCTATAAGCATTCTCACGGTTCATGTTTTGCATTAAGTGTAACTCAAGTCAGCATCACAGAAAATAAAAAATAAGTTAAATATATATATATATATATATATATATATATATAACCATGTAGTAGCCTTTTTTTTAAAAGGATAGAAGATGCCTGGGCAACGCCAATCCAGAAATTTGTCACGATACAAACTACCACAAGCCTTTTTCCACTACTTTTTGAAGAAATCCCTGTTTTTTTCTCGTTCATTAATCACCATTGCAAGACAACAAAAAAGAGTTGCTTGTGACCCAACCTACTACAGTTGCCACTAACATTGCTTTTTGGGCTGTTGGCCACGTCATTTTTCTTACTCAAAATTAGGCAAATATTGGTAACGCCTTGATGGCTCATTTCATGCCTTAGTTTCTTTCCTTTTTCCTTATCCCACAATCACAAGACTACAATATCCCACGTAACAATGAATTAAGCCCTTCACCCCTCTCCTTCCCAGTCAAGAAAAGGTAATAAAAAGAAAAGACACACAAGCAAAAAAAAGATATTCTCATTGTAGGAAGGTGAGGAAGAACACGCTTTTGACCTATATAACTTAAATCTTTTTAACTAATCTAGGAGTACTAGTCACGAATTGAACTAAATTAAGTTTGTCGTGTATGATCTTTTCCTTGATATGCATTAGTACAAAATTGAATGAGTGTTTAACATCATTAGTAAATTAACTTAATTGACTAATTGATGCGTTTACTGATCGTAGGCATTTAGAACATATTCATATTTTTATAAGAAAATTCTCCCAAAACCACTCGCATCAAAGGGGGAATTATCCCAACGAAATTTTGAGAATGAACATTTACAAGAAGCAACACCACAGAATGAAATGGAAATATATTTCCCTTAGAAAGAGAATATGCTTCACAGTTCACACTTCCCTTCTCTCACAAATGATCAATAAGCTTAACGTCTAATCTTTACAATACGTACTCCAGCCCGTCTGACCATTCCGATAACACCTGCGTCTTCTCTCTTCAATGCAGAAATCAAATGTCTGAGACTTGCTTGGAGAAGGCTATAGAATATGTAATGATATAAAATCTCTTTCTTTTACAATGGTTTATTCTAAAGTGAAGTTGAAATTTTCCTGTAAAGAGAGGGAAGGAAAACCGACTACGTGTGTTTTTCATCTTCTACAATTTCCTATTCGTTTCTAGGTAGACAGTGGCCGACTAGACTAGACGCAATGGGTTTCATACATCTAGCTTGGACTGTTTATGTGCGTGAAAAAAGAATATAGATTTAGTTGACTGATTGTAGAATTTCTATCTCGAAAGTGAGCAAGGACTTCCAGGTGAAGGGAATGCAATGGATCTTTTGAGGAATTGTTTTTGCTTGTCATCAGCAAAACAAAGCACTGAATCAATACAAATCTCAAGAGCAGAGGGGGGTTGAACAGGAACAAAGTCCTGCAGCTTTGCATACTCTGAAATCAAGTGATACATGTAATCATATATCCGATCAATACTCAAACTTTCCATGAAGTCTTGTCCTGCTTTTCCAATGGCTTCGGCCTATTCAACAAAACATTTCACGGAAAACAAGTATAAAGATATTGGTAAATAAAAGAGTCAAACGATAACCACAACCAATTTAATAGCCTGTTTGGTCAGCCTACAAGTTTGCTAGTCCTGCTTGACCTGCCCTTCGTCATGGGCATCACATTCATTCCACCCTCCCCTCCTCCCCCTGGACTCAGGTTCCTCGCTGAAGTTTGCTCCACCATCATATTGAGGGAGCTTCGATTCTGATACTATATTTGTCATAACTCAAGGTCATGACACATATTGTTTGCTTTGGACCTAGTATTATCATGATCCAAGTCTATGACACGTATTGACCCAAAGCCGACAGGCCCAAAGCTGAAAATACATACCTAGGCTCAAACGGACCATGGGCTTGGGTCGTGTACTTTTCAGAACCATAACATCACTACCATTATCTGAGGCTCTCAGCATAGCAAAAAAGTAGCTACACTGACATAATCTTGGGGCGAAAGCATACCTCTGATGGATTTGCATTACCCCAATCAACAGCAGCCTTTATTGAAGGGCATAATTCAAATGGAGGAATTGGCCAGTAATTTTTCTTTGGAATGAGACCACGACTAAAGAAATCCTGATACTGTGGGCTGATTATCAGGGGAAGAGAACCACATGCTAGAATATACTTCAAGCTCACTGACCATGCATATCCTTCTGCATAAATCTTGTACCTGCATTATTAACAATATAATAATTGAATATAAGGAATGCAATTTTCTCTACTTCATGGGAACTTTAAAAATCAACTATTGAACAATACCCTAGGGGTGCGACGCTCCATGAGATGAATTAAGAGCAATGTTGAATTCGAGATTTAAAGTCAATGAGTTTTACTCTTTACTATACGTGCCAAATTTTACCCGCCCCCCCTCCCCACTCGCACACACACAACATATATATAAATAAAAAATCCGAGTTCAATGTATTGAGATAGTGTATTGTATTTATCATTATGTTAACAATTAGTTAGGTGTGTATTAGCATAGCTTTAGATAGTTAGTATTGGGTCCCACATGTAATATGTATATATACTCAGTTGAGTTTCTAATACAAGTTAGTTCATTCTCACACTTAACCGACTCTTCTTTCTCCTCTGTTTCCCTTGTTTTCCTTCAAGAACCCTCTGTGGTTCCACCATTGTAGCTCAAGCTTGAGCTCTACTCCTCTAATGGCTTTGCATCTTTACATGGTATCAGAGCGAGGTATTCTACTCGCCATTCTCTCCAATCTCTCTTAGTTCTTTTTAGATTCTAGAACCACAATCACGATCTCCGTCTTTTGCCCTAATTTTTCTCAATCCGATATTCTCTTCTTCTCGTTCCTTTTCTTTTCGACAAATTGATACTGCTTTCTCATGGCTAACCTTGATCCAAACAATGATTCTGGAATTGAATCGACTGATTCAACTCATGTCGCCGGTATTGATCCCGAAGTCAACCTAGCTGCCCTTTTTACATGCATCCATCGGATAATCCTGGTGCGATGTTGGTGACGACTCTGTTCAATGGCATTGGATACCGATCCTGGAGAAGAAGCGTTCTTTGAGCCCTCTCAGTCAAAAATAAAGTAAGATTCATCACTAGCGAGTACAAACGACCAGACCTAGATTCCCCGCAATTTCGTCAATGGTAAAGGTGCGACGATATAGTAACCTCATGGATCCTGAATTCTCTGTGTAAGGAAATCGCTAATAGTGTTGAGTATGCTAATAATGCTTTTGAACTTTGGAGAGAGTTGGAAGATAGGTACGACCAAACTAACGGTACCAAATTGTATCAAATCCAAAAGGAAATCAATGATCTAGCTTAGGGAACCCTTAATGTTACTGATATTATACGAAAATGAAGAAGCTTTGGGAAGAATTAAGCACGATAAATGCCAAGTCACAGTGTAGTTGTCAATTCACTTGTGGGGCTAAGGAGAATATGCACAAGGCTGAACAAGATAAAAGATTCATTCAGTTTCTCATGGGTCTGAACAAAGTGTACACCACAGTGCGAGGTAGTATAGTCATGATGAATCCACTGCTTTCCATGGCACATGCCTTCTCCTTGTTAATTCAGGAAGAAAAACAGCGAGAAGTGAAGCCACATAATCAACTCATGCTCGACTCTGCTTCTTTGAATGCTAATGTAACTTCACACAACAACTTCAACAACAGAACACCTGTACATAACAATTTCAAAACCAACTACTCTCCAAACAATTCCTCCACGAGTACTAGACCTCGCCCCTTCTGTGATTACTACAAATGTGCTGGCCATACTAGAGAGAAATGCTTCAAACTCCATGGCTATCCGCAGGATTTGAATCAAAATCCCAAGTACAATAAGGGGAAAAGGACTGCAACTAATGTACACAGTTCTCCACTCGATTCTTTTTCTATGAAAGGTGAAGAAACACAGACTCAAGGTAACAATTCCAATGTGAGTCTCACTAAGGAGTAGTATGGGCAGTTGGTGACTTTGCTTCAACACTTTCAGACCAGCACTGGAGGAGATAGTTCAGACAATAATGTGACTGGTGGAGCTGTGAACTTCGCAGGTATTTTTGCCTGCTCTGCTTCTGTCCTTTCTGTTGATTATGGCCTACTTTCATGTAAATGCTTTAAATCAAGGGCTGACATTTGGATCCTAGACTCTGGGGCTTCTAATCATATGATCTTCAATAAATCTTTACTCAGTCATATTAAAACCCTAGCATACCCTATGTTAATCACACTGCCAAACGGCTATAGAGTTAAAGTCACAGAAATTGGAACTGCCACATTAGCACCAAACATTGTTCTACATAGAGTCCTATTTGTTCCATCCTTCAAGTACAATCTTATTCAATTCACTCTTTAGCTTCTCAACTTAAAGGTTTGATTGCTTTCTCTGATTTTCTTTGTCTTCTGCAGGCCCCTACAATGAAGAGGCCTCTGGAGATTGGTAAGGTCAAAGATGGCTTGTACCTTATATGTTCAAGCTGTCTGAAGAATTCATGTTCTGCTACATATACCTCTTAACCTGTTTCCTATTTTGTTTTGTCTAGTTCTTCTGATGTAAATAGTTTGCAACTGTCAGCATTCTACATCATCTGTAAATGTTTCCATTTACAATTCACAGTCTTTTGTAAATAATTCCATCAGTAATAAAACTTAGTGCATTTCTTCAAATTCTCTTTTGTCTAACAAGAATCAAGATGATTTGTTGTGGCATTACAGATCAGGCCATGTGCCCTTTATCAAAATGAGGGGGATATCTTCTATCCTTGTTCAATTCTCAACTAAACAACCTTTCCTCTGCTCCATTTGTCCTATGGTTAGACAACCAAGACTTTCTTTTTCCCATAGGACTAGCACTACTACTTCCATTTTTGAACTCCTTCATGCAGACCTCTGGGGACCCTACCACATTGCTACTCATTTTCTCACCTTAGTGGATGATTATAGCATGGCCACTTGGACTCACCTCTTGAGTAGCAAGAACAATGTCTTGCAAATCATCAAAAATTTTATATCCTTAGTTGAAACCCACTTCAATTCCACTATCAAGTACCTTAGATCTGATAATAGTTCAGAATTCGTCAACATGGAAGCCTTGTCATTCTTTCAGTCTAAAAGAATAGTTCATCAAAAAACACGTCCCTATACTCCCCAATAAAATGGAGTTGTGGAGAGGAAACATAAATACCTCCTGGAAACTACCAGGGCACTCCCTTTTCAGTCCAAGTTGCCTTTACAATACTGGGGTGAATGTGTATTGGCTGCAACACACATTATAAACAGACTTCCCACCACTTACCTAAAGAATAAATGCCCAATTGAGATCCTCTATAATAAAGCACCAACATATTCTCATTTGAGAAGTTTTGGATGCTTATGTTTTCCTACCATACCTAAAGTCCATAGAGACAAATTTGAACCTAGGACCATTCGCCATGTCTTTGTGGGGTATCCTTATGAAACTAAAGGGTACAAAATTTTAAATCTGGCCACCAAAAAGATTCATGTTTCTAGAGATGTAATCTTCCATGAGTACATCTTCCCCTTTGCTATCCTACCTACTTCCTCATCTTCTTTTTCATTAGTACTCAATTCTGCTCCTTGCACAGTAGATATGCCACCTCCTACAACACACCCAAATGACTGTGACTGTGTGTCTAAACTACTACCAGATTCAGTTCACTTCTCCAATGTGCCCTCACCTGTGACAATATCACCTCCCAGTTGTCCCTTTTCTCCAGAATCTCCTATAATTCCTCCACCACCTCACATTCAGGGAAATTATGAACCTAGAAGGTCTACTAGAGAACATCATTTACCTGTTCATCTAAAAGACTATGTATACTCTTTACCCAACTTATACCCTACTGCTCATCCTTTTTCTAATCCAACTACTCTTGCTACTACATCCAATCAGATTCTTCCTTTTCTCTCAATGCTTTTTTCTCCAAACATCATCATATCTCCTTCACCTCATTAGTTCCTGATAGTCAGCAACTTGTTCAAAGTGTTTGCCATGATAGTGAACCAAAATCTTATGCAGAAGCAACCTTGAATCCTGCTTGGCAAGCAACTATGTCACTAGAGTTTGAAGCTCTTCATGCCAACCACACTTGGGACCTAGTTCCCTTACCTCCAGGGAAGAAACTCATAGGCTGTCGATGGGTATACAAGGTCAAACACAAAGGTGATAGTAGTATTGAGAGGTTCAAGGCCAGGCTTGTAGTAAAAGGGTATACACAACAGGCTGGTGTTGATTACACTGAGACTTTCTCACCTATTGTAAAAATGACAACTATTAGAGCACTTATAGCAACTGCAATGAAGAAGCATTGGGGTATCTTCCAACTTGATGTCAATAATGCCTTTCTTCATGGGATTTACATGATGAAGTGTATATGGACCTGCCTCCTGGTCTGTTGGTTGACACACCTGGCCTAGTATGTAAGCTGCACAAATAATTGTATAGCTTGAAACAAGCTAGTCGACAGTGGTATAACAAGTTGGCCGGGGCATTGTGTTCCAAGGGCTATGTACATTCCCTCAATGATTACTCTTTGTTTTACAAGAAATCTGACTCCTCTGCTATATATATTGCTGTCTATGTAGATGATGTAATTGTCACAGGGAATAATCCAGAAGAAATCAACTGTTTGAAGGTTTTTCTACATGCTCAGTTCAAGATCAAGGACTTGGGTCGACTGCATTATTTCCTGGGTTTAGAGGTCCTCTACAAGGAGGATGGTGTAATAATCTCTCAGAGAAAATTTGCTCTTGACCTACTGAAGGAGTATGAATGCCTTTATTTGGTGCCTTCAGCTCACCATTGGATCCTGCAGTCAAACTTCAAGCCAAGGAAGGTACACCCTTAGCAGACCCTTCTGTTTATAGAACCTTGATAGGCAAGCTGAACTTCCTAACAAATACAAGGCTGGACATTGCCTATAGTGTCCAACACCTTAGTCAGTTCATGCAAGATCCCAGGGAACCTCACCTCAAGGCTGCTTATCACTTACTTAGATATCTGAAAGCTGATCCTACTCTTGGAATCTCCTTGTCTGCAAATCCAGATTACACAGTTAGAGGGTATTGTGACTCTGATTGGGCTGCCTGCCCAGATTCTAGGAAGTCTGTCAGTGGATATCTAGTATTACTTGGTGACAATCCCATTAGTTGGAAGTCTAAGAAGCAAGCTACCATCCCTCTTTCTTCTGCTGAAGCAGAGTATAGAGCCCTGAGAAATGTAGTTGGAGAACTGGTGTGGCTGTGCAGACTGTTTACTAAGCTTACTGTTCCTTTTCTTTCCCCTGTCACAGTGTTATGTGACAGCCAATCAGCTCTACACACAGCTCGTAATCCTGTTTTCCACGAGCGGACCAAACATATTGAAGTAGACTGTCACTTTATGAGAGACAAATTGCAAGAAGGGCTGGTTTCCCTTCATCATGTTGGGACTGATAATCAACTGGCNCTGTTCTCCTTCGAGAACCTTCTGTGGTTCCACCATTGTAGCTCAAGCTTGAGCTCTACTCCTCTAATGGCTTTGCATCTTTACACAATGGAATAGGTCGACCAGCTACCAAAGTAGAGATAGAATAAAGGCATTAATGAACTATTGCAACATGGAATTTTAGAACAATATGACAAGCAAATTATTAAGATTGATCCTAGAAAGTCTCAACATCAACCAAGAAATCTTTGGTACCTCAAATTAAAATACCAAGCATGTCAGGATCCAAAACTTGAATTCTCAAATTGACAACCCAAGAATGTTGCAAGCTCACCTATGATTACATTGCTTTGATAGCTTGGACTTCTCAAATCCAACCTTTGCTTCTTCTGCCCAATCCTATATCCATATCATAATGTACAATTTGTAGTTAAGAAAACAAAGGGATTCACAGAAAAAATGAAACAAAAATAGAAAACAAGTACTAGTAGTTATAACGAATCTATAAGAATAAAATGTCTAGTCATGAACCTGGCGCATAATTTGTGCTCTCCACATTTGAGTGTCATTGCAATTGAGCAATTCTGTGCGAATCGGAGAAACAACATCTGGATTTCCTTTCCAGTATGCTACCGGGATCTTCCTTATCCAACTTCGAGATTTTGAACCCTCTTTGATGCTTTTAAATTCTTCTTCCCATGGTCTTATGTTTATTTCCGACCTGAAAAGTAATCACCCAACATATAAATTGAAACAGAGGAAATATAATTTATGGGATGAGAAAGAAACACAATTTCCCACTGTTTCTAGATTAGTTCACTAATAATTCAGCATGTGTTAGAGGTTTAAGTTAACATAAAGGGTGCACACTACAACACTAGCCAATATTTTATTTTGGGAACCTTCATATGAGTTTGTTTTTCTATTAATCCAATATAAAGGTTCTAAATTAGCTCGTGAATACGAAGGATAAATACCAATAACCTGAAGACGCAACTCGCTATATCAGCAGTAGTTCAACCAAAACAAATCATTTTATAATAATCCATTTCTAATAATGTTAGAAAAGCATTAACCTAAAATAAGCGCACCTTGTATATACTAACTTAAGCTATGGTTGTGGCGGACATAGTATGGATTCTGCAGTTTCGACATAATTCACTGCTTTTGGTTCAATCTTATGTGTGCGCGTGAAAAATAAGTGTGGATAAAATCAGATATTATGTATTTCAAAATTTTCAGTTTCAATTCAAAACTCGTGGTGTCTAAATTATAAATCTGTCACAGCATTATAGACTTGTATGAAAATAGATGTGCAATGAAATGATATGATCCTATATGCTCCAAACATGTTAAACTCAACCATTTTCTACTTACAATGTTACAATATGTCAAAAAGTAAACAATTGTAGTTCGCATCTGAATAAAAGAAGCTTCAAATTCTTACCAGCCCCAGAAAGACCAATCTGGAAATGGTATATCAAAATGGTGCGGTGTGGTACAGTACCGAAACAAAGGCAAAGGCATTGAAGAATGTTCAGTTCGATTAATAATAGGCTTGTCCATGCAATCAAACATCAAATCAACATCTGGAACCTTTCCAGGATACCTCCTAAGTAACTGCAATATTCCCCAGATCGTGAACATAGCCCTACTCTGTACACAAGCATAGTAAAAATCTACAAATAATTTGCCACCAACTATAACAACTCTAAAAGCCGCAAACTTCTGTGCCTCCATTACATGGTTCATAGAAATCCTGGACTTGGTCCATGGTTCAAGGTCATAACGTATGCTCCTGAAAAATTCTGGGCAAGTTTTGGATTCAGAGGTTTTCGATTTGGATGCGGAATTGCTATTTTGAGGAATGGTGACATGACTCGGGCAGCTAAGATAAGAACATCCTATGATCTTGGAAGCCTTTGAAACAGTGGATTCTTCATCGAATGATTTTGCAGGAAATACATGCCACGGCGTTGGCTCTAAATTGTGACCCACGATGGTTTTTGTCTGAGAAATTAAGTTGTCAACCTAAGCATCACAAAAGAAAAAACAACGACAATAATAAGAATGCCATGCCATCATAAGTTAGAAAGAACGTTGTTATTTATAGAACGTCTCAAAAAAGAAACTGGTGCGGACACCACAGCTAACATAAACAAAAGTATATAGAGATGAAGGACGAGGACCTCGAAGAAGAGGAGAAGAGCGAGGAAGAGGAAAGCAAAGAAGATAACGTAGCGAGGAAGGAAAGATGGCCGGCGACTATGTCTAGAAAGTATCCCCATTGAATCTATGTAGCTTGTCTCAGATTGAATTGCTCAATTATATTCATGTCCATGATACTTAACTTTGAGTTAATTGTGATTAATTGATCTTTAATTTCTTTGCGCTTCTTGATCTCTGCTCTTTGCCTTTCTTTCTCACACGATAATTGTTGCATGGCTGAGGGATTGCCTCCCGTACACTACCAACGTGGAAAACCAACAGTATTTAAGGCCCCACAAATATAAAGTGTACTACATTATTATATAATATATATGATTTATATTTATATAATTATTAAAGAAGGATTTCAAATTTTAGCATTTCTTTTTAAATTTAGTAGAGGTAGGATTGAGTGAGTTAATTAGATATAAAAAAAATTCTCATTAAATTAAATAACATATTTACTTTCTCATCAACTCTATTTTTATTTCCTCTCTTTTTTCCTACAATTTTGCTTTCTAATTCAAAAAGCAAGTTCTTTTGTATCTATCAATTTAATTAAGAAATTCCCGAAGCAAGTCTCGCAAGGTTCAAAGCTCCATGAATATTGGGCTCACTCCTTTTCATTATCACTTAATACTATATCTTTATAAAGGGAAGAGTTCAATACCATGCCGTGCTCTCGCCACTAGATCAAAACCGTGTAGGGCTTTTTTTTATATCTCATTATTATATAAATTTTATGAAAGAAAGTTTAAGCGTCTTTTAATATATTATGGTTTTAGGTCATAGCAATGCCCCACGAACATTATATTCAACCAGCTTTATTCATATTTGGTAACTGAATGACCAATTTATTACCTTTAATATTCTTTGTCATTATAGTCTTCTCTTAATTTAGACTCTATAAAATTTGATTGAGAATATCACAGGTGGATAGATGGCTCAAGGGGAGGCTACTAACACCTTGCTTTAAACCTCAATTTTGAGGCCCCAAAATTTTGTAGTAAATTTTACAATTTATTTTAATTTAAACAATACTAAAGTTTACAAACAGAATTTAAAAGTATAGAAATTGTGTAAAAAGAAAAGAAAAAAAGACTTCTACTCCTAAACAATAAAAATATTTTAGAACTTTGAATTAAACTGCTTAGATCTTCATATTAGTAAATATAGTTTTATATAATAATATCAAAGATAATATATTGTAAATAGATGGCTAACATCTTAGTTATTTAAATTGCCCTCACTAATATTAATACTACTACTATGTGAAGCTAAAGGCTTTATGTCATTTAAGAATATTATATGTGATTCTAACTAAAAGAAAGTATAGCCTCTTATTAAAATTTACCTTAGGCCATTACTTTTATTGAGCCGCCCTTACTCACGCTTTCTCATTCCCGACTAGCTTGAACAATAATTGTCACGACGGTTTACATTCCCTCTAAATATTAGAAAGAGTTTAATTTTCTTTACATCCCACTAAATATTAGAAAGATTTTAATTTTCATGCTTTATGTTATTATGTCAGCTAAAAAATAATTCTAAATATCCATGAATAAAAGTGAAACTATACTAACTGATAATATGAAAATATTATGCATAATATAAGTTGGTACTTGAGGAGGCTCTTAGCTCATGATATTATCACGATCCAAATTTTTCTCCTTAAGATACCGTGTCGGCATCTAGTCTCTAAGACTAGGTAAGTCTAACAATTGCGAAATAACTGAAATAACGACTAAACTTCTATATATATATATATATACATATATATATATATATAACTGAGACTGCTGCTCGGCATGTACAAGTAAAATCAACAACTCTGAATAAAAACAACTCCCAAAACCTGGTAGTCACAAGCCACAAGCTCTAGGGGATGTACTAATAGTCTCTATACATCAGCATCTAAGAGAATAAAGAAAAGACAATATAGTAAGGATAGAGGGGGACTCCGAGGTCTGCGGATGCTAGCAGATACTCCTTGAAGTTTCCAAGCAGCAGTACACACTCTCCTAATATTGGGGTTGGTAGGATGTACCTAGGTCTGCACAAAAAGATGTGCAGAAGCGTAGTATTAGTACACCACAAACGTTACCCAATAAGTGCCAAGCTTAACCCCGGTAGAGTAGTGACGAGGTCAGGCCGGGGCCCTACTAGAATATAAGAAATAAGGCAGAAGGCGAAATAATAATAAAAATGGCAGGTTAATAAAACAAATAGGAATGTATGGAGCAGCAATATCACGGGGAAAAACAAGAGAGAATTGCAACACGTAATGAAAAGAACATCTTACAAGATAAGGAACAACAACAACAGCAAACAACACAGCAAAAGCGGGAAATCAACAGGGGGCTAAGACCGCCTCGCTGTCCCAAAAGTAAATATGCAACAGGGGCGCTCCCGAGTTACCGCCTCGTAATCCCAAAAATAAATAGCTTACAACGGCACGATAGAAACCTCGTGCTACAATCTCACTCCGTAAGGAAGAAACCTCGTGCCAAATCACACTCCGCACGGAAAAAATCTCCTGCCAATAACCCAACAACCATCATAACAAGAATCACGAAAGTCAGCACGTAATAAATACAACAAAATGATATTACAAGCAAGAAAATCCTATAGTTAAAAAACAAACAAGTAATCAAGGAAAAACAGGTAATTCAACTAAGCATGTTGTATAAGTTGCAACTAAGAGATAAAACACATAGACATATGAAATTAGGCTAAACATGAAGACTACACGTGCTAGAATAACACATTTAAGATATAAAAAGGAAATTACTTAGCAAAGACCGGATTTTTCAATAGTTAGCCCGTGTACGCACTCGTCACCTCACGTACACGACACTCACATTATCATAAATTGTTACAATAGTACCAAATCCTAGGGGAATTTCCCCCACGCAAGGTTAGACAAGTCACTTACCTCAAACCAAGCTTAATTAGTCAATAAAAATGCCTTTCCCTCGTCTTTCCAACTTTGAACGACCCAAATCTAGCCAAAATCAATTTACATGCTATAAATATAACTATAAGAAAATAATTTAATTAAGAAAATCAAGACTTTAACAAGAAATTAGAAAATCGCCCCAAAAGTCGACCCACACTCATGTTTTGGAATCGGGCAAAAGTCACAAGAAATTGAACACCCATTCAACCACGAGTTCACCCATATCAAAATTACTCAAATCCGATACCAAAATCTCGATCAAAACCTCAAAATTTGGTCTAAGAACTTTCCTCCATTTTTCACCCCAAATCATTAATTTAAAGATGAAATTAAAGACATAATCATAGAAATTAACCAAAACTAGGTAAGAATCACTTACCCCAAACTCCCACATGACAATTTCTCCAAGTATCACCTCCCATCGAGCTCCCAAATTAATTTTTGTATTATGAACTCAAAACCTCATTTTTGAACATTTAAATCTGCCCAGGCGTTTCCTTCTTCGTGAACGCGGAACTTGCCTCGCGTTCGTGAAGCAAAAAAAAGTTACAGCCCAAAAATCCTCTTACGCGACACAAGGTCTCTCTCGCGAATGATGCACACATGGCCCGACCTTTGCGAATGTGGTCATTCTTACGCGAACGCGAAGAACAACATCACCTGCCTCTCATGTACCCCTTCGCGAATGCGAAGGGAAAATTTCCAGTAGCACTCAACCTCCTCTACGCAAAAGCGGAAGCATCTTCGCAAATGCATAGAAGAAAACCAGACACCAACAAGTCTAAAGCTTCAGCCATCATCCAAGTCCAAATTCCAATCCGTTAATTATCCGAAATCCACCTAAACCTAGCAACAAGTCCCAAAATATTATACGAACTTAGTTGAGCCTTCAAATCACATCAAACAATGCAAAACCACGAATCGCACCCAATTCAAGCTTAATGAACTTTAGAACTTCTAACTTCTACATTCGACGGAAAACCTATCAAATCAAGTTCGATTGACCTCAAATTTTGCACACAAGTTATAATTGATATTATGGACCTACTCCAACTTCCAGAATCAGAATCAAAATCGATATCAAAAACTCCACTCCGGGTCAAACTTCCCAAAAATTATCAAATTTTCTAACTTTTTCCAATTGACGCTAAAATGACTTACGAACCTCCAATTCAAATCGGAACACACTCCTAAGACCAAAATCACCCTACGGAGCTATTGGAACCATCGAAACTCCATTCCAGAGTGGTCTTTACACAATTCAAACTATGATCATATTCCTAGAACTTAAACTCCAAATTTAGGGACTATGTATCCCATTTTACCCCGAAACCAAAACCAAACCTCCCAGCAAGTCAAGTAATATAAAATGAAACAAAGGGAGCAATAAATAAGGCTTCGGGGCTCCTACACTCAAAACGATCAACCGGGCCGTTACATCTTCCCCCTCTTAAAAAAATTATTCATCCTCGAACGAGTATAGAGACATACCTGGAGTGGTGAAAATATGAGGATAAAGGCTACACATATCATGCTCGGTCTCCCAAGTCGCCTCTTCCACCGGATGACCCCTCCACTGAACCTTCACTAAAACGATATTCTTCGACCTCATCTTTCGAACCTGCCTATCCAAGATGGCTATCGCCTCCTCAACATAAGACAAATCTTTGTCCAACTGGACTGAGCTGAAGTCTAACATTGGGACGGATCACCGTTATATTTCCAGAGCATAGAAACGTGGAATTCTAGATAAACTCTTGATAGATTGGGAGACAAGGCAAGCTCATAAGCAACCTCCCCAACTTGACGCAACACCTCGAATGGGCCAATAAATCTTGAGCTCAACTCACCCTTCTCCCCGAACCTCATAACACTCTTTATGGGCGAAACCCGAAGCAAGACCCGCTCCTCAACCATGAATGCAACATCGCAAACCTTCTGATCCGTATAACTCTTCTATCTGGACTAGGTTGTACGAAGTCAATCCTGAATCACCTTAACCTTCTCCAAAGCATCCTGAACCAAGTCTGTACCCAATAGTCTAGCCTTGCCCGACGCAAACCAACCCACTGGAGACCAACACCGCCTACCATACAAAGCATCATATGAGGCCATCTGAATGCTCGATTGATAATTGTTGTAGGAAAACTCCGTGAGCGGTAATAAGTGATCCCAAGAATCACCAAAATTGATCACACACGCATGGAGCG